ATCTAAAAACCAGTGCGAGCACCAGAAGCTATGAGCTATCCACAAGTAGACTACACTGAAGTGTTAACAGACACAATCACTCAGCCTTTTGGTCGCACCTGATATAGCCTGCATTAGAAACTTGGTGTGTAAATCCTGAATTTTACTTTCTGTGTCTGTGTCCAAATCTGAGTGTGAGTGTGAGTGAGTGCACGTGTGTGCTGCATGTGTGTCCACAGAAAATGAGACGCAGACTGGTGGCAGATTAATGAAGCTGGGGAGAGAGGGAGCTGGCTGGATTAACAATCCAGATGAGATTACCCTGACCCTGAGGACACGTGCGCTTTGAATTTGGGGCTGCTATTTTTAATGCATTATTCCAGACGCTGTTTTTATTACAGCGTTGACCCGCCGCTGCCTGTAATTTATAGATGATGGGACAATGTGTTGGAGATGATAAGCTGGTATCTGTAGCACAAACACAAAATATGATGTGACAAACCAATTCCCCATCTTTCTGCACCTCTTTTCTCTCTCTCCAATGCAGCGCCAGCTTTATTCCGCCTCTTTCTCCTTTTACTTCTACTTGTCATTTTCCCTTTATCTCTGTTTCAGCCTGTTTCATCCAGAGACTCCTTTCTGTTTTTAAACTATGTCCCTCTGCGTCTCCATTAATAATTTAGCCTTCTAATCAAGTAGTTAGCTTGATGAGTGTAAACTACAAGTTCTCATTGTTGGTAAGATTGGGCTGCGCATAGACATGTGACTAAGTGTTAGATGCAATAAATCTTATGATGGTGATGTTGGTCGTTGTTAACATTTATGGGAGCTGGGTGGGAAGAATTTGTCCTCAATGTTATCCGGAGAGGCACACAGGAGGAAATCAAAAGGGGTTCAGTTCAAGCCCCCAGCAATCATTAGCAGAGCTGAGCTTTGAGGTGATTTTAGCAATGTGATGACACTATGATCATGTGATGCCAAATGACCCAAAAAGAGTGTCTGCCATACAACACCATAACAAAATGACCACTGGACTCTTTATCTGGCCAGTACAGTGAATTTTAGAAAGACTGTAAGCCTTAAGGAAGTAAGCTTTCATACATTTATAAACATGTAGTTTTTTCTTCTATTAGCCCATTGTCTTATTCCAGCATTCATTTAAGATTAAATTCCTCACAAAAAGAAAAGGAATCAGCTCCTCCCCCCAGCAGTGACATCAATAGAGGCAAAACTGAAAGCATCCATCCCTTAAAATCTGTCTTTCCTAATGTATCACAAGACACATTAGTGGTGAAAAAAAGACTTCCTGATGTCCTTCTCTGTGTCATTTCTTGTTGTTCAACAGCCATGCAAAGCAAACTATAAGACCAGTCTCGTCTTTGTCTACACACACGCTACTTTCATTATCGTACGTTGGTGTTGGTACACTGCACAGCGAAAAGCTGGTCTCTAATAGTAGTCACACAGCCCTTGGGTTCAGAAAGCCACAGGGGCAATCATCCAGTACAATTAGTCTTTCACTGACCCCGCCTTAATGAGCTTGTTAAACCCTCAGCTCGTTAGCGTGGCAATAGGGAGGATGATGCTTAATGGAAGTGTCTTTTTTAAATGGATGCCCCATTTCCTAGAAGGCCTGGGGTGAAGGATTATAGTAGAAAACATGTCTTTTTATACATATAAGAATGGACACAGGTTGCAGAGGTTGAGTGTGTATATAGTACTGTGAAAAAGTTGACACCCCTCATTTCTTTATATTTTGCTTCCAATGAGACAGACTCTGTTTTTGGTGTTGAGCGATAGTTCTCGAGGGTCTCTAACGGTCTTTCAAAGTGTCTCTTTGGACATTGGCTGCTTTTTCATTCATGTTTCAGTCCAGTCCTTGTACCTAACTATTCTCAGAGGAAAGTTCTCTTTTTTATTAATTTGTTAAGTATAACAAAACACTGCAACTCAACAGAAGAACCAGTGTTCACAGCAAACTTAGCAAAGAACCAGTTAGAAATTGATTCTTTAGGTACTTTGTTATTAGCAACAAGTCACAAATATTTTTTCCCCCATTTCTGAAGCTGATTCTATGGAAAATGCCAAAGACAGCACAGTCTGACTGGCATAAAATAATGTATTTGAACTAATAAGGTGGAAACTATTATTAAACTTGGCATATCTAAAGGAAGGAGCGAGACAACACTCGTATGGAGTGATAAATCCATATTTGAAATGTTCTGGAGAACTATTCTTGAAGCCTATTTGGACAAATTATAAAAACATTTGCTGAGGAGAGTTCAGGCTGCATTAAAGAATAAAGGAGGTCACACCAAAAATTGACCTTTAAGCTTGTTAGTAATGCACAAACTCCGTTTTTAGTCATTTTTTCCCCTGTTTCTCAAATAATCAACACATTCATAAGTTAAAGACAATGTTTGCACTTGCTAGAGAGCAAGACCTTGAATCTCAAAGCGTAGATTGTTTTTCGACTTTCAACAGATTTCCTCTGATGCAAAACTAGATTGATGCGAGTGATGGTGACAATGAGCGAGGTAATGGTTTCTGAACTGCTAGAACTTTGATTTTCATACTGTGACTCACCGTTAACATGTGGCTCACAGTCAAGTAACTGTTCAACGTATTGTTTACAGTATCTAAGATGGCCTACATCTAACAGGAAGAAACACAACACATACTGTATCTGTACATAAACATTTGTGCACAGGCACACTGATAAAACCTGCTCTATGACACGATGGCGCTTTGATATTTTCTAGTGTCTGGAATCAAGTCTCATAAATTCTTGGTTACTTTAACACATTTATGTTACATGGTCACATTTTTGCCAGTGAAGATAAGCACTAACACTTCCTAATCAGTTTTTCATCTAAAATTGTAATTTCTGCCTTAACCGTCTTATCCCTCGATAAGTACCTTTTTGATTATTCATTTTTTAGTTTTATTGATATTTTTCCCACCCTTTGTGATTCTTTAATATATCTTTTTGCCTTTTTTATATCATTTATCTATCTTTATTTCTTTCCCTAACTCAATTTTCAGATCAGCCAAATCATGCCACCAGCGTCTGCCTCGTTAAAGTCCTCCTAACCACGAGCAGCCTGTCCCGTTGACCTTGTCTGAAGCTCATAGTACTACAGCTGACAATTACTCATAGCAGTGTTTGGGAGCTAAGCCTGAGCTAATACTAAGTGGAGTGGAAAGAAGTGCTGCAGCGTAAACGCTAACACTTGTACCGGCTCTGCTGTGACAAATGCTGCGCTCTGCTCTTATCCATCAGGCTCAGGCTGGCCATTGATCATTGTTTGGACAGCCACTTTGGTGAGCTGGGAAACACACAGCAGGACACACACCAACACACACTAACGCACAGAGGAAGGATAAGCTTTTCAGCTAGAAAAGGAGAGAAAGCTAAAATAAATGTTGAGTAGGCTGGCAGCTTCATGAGTAGAGTACACCAGTGTTTTACTTTTGTGTGGGAGAGAGGGGAGAGAGAGAGAAGAGGAGAGAGTAAAATGGAGCTGCTTCTTTTAGTTTGGAAATAAAAGACCACTGGAGTGTGCAGAGAGAAATGCAATGTGTGTGCCTGCATCCTTTTTTCTGTGTCGAGCAAGGTTAGTAAAGTTAAATGCTTTTGAAAGGCGATATAGCACACAGAGTTCAAGGACATGTACTCATATTACAGACTCCATACTGTGCAGACATAGCCGCTTACACAACCAAGCAAAGGTGTCTCTCTCTACAAAGTATTACAAATGATTGCTTCATCAAATTAGCTGACAGTGGATCGATTCAACTATTAATCAGTGCTGCTATTGTGTCAGCTGTGAATATTTCAATCTATCCCTAAACAACTTTAACTTGCTTCAACAGCTTCAGAGAAATTAATGGAACAATGGTGCGATATAGCCAAAGGGAGACACTTCAGGTGGACACAGGTAAAAATAAATAAATAAAGCCGCACATGATCTGTTTTCTTAACTGCTTATCCAGTCCTATAGGTGTGGTACACTCTGGACAGGTGACCAGTGATTTTCACAAAATACTGACGCAAGATGGAAAAAGGAAACGGTCATTCTATGGCGATGATTTTAGAAAAAAAATCTGCTCTGTATATTAGACAGTAAATGAAATGTGAACAAACACAGAAATGAAGCCATAATGTTTTTGACTATCTTTCATTTCGCTGTAAATGCTGCTGCTGAGTATGAGATGAAACAGATTTGAAGAAAAAAGCCTTTAACAATATTTGCTGAAAAAAAAAATTTTTTTAAACATTATTTTTTGACTTTTTAACTAACTTGCAACATCACCATTTGATTTCCTACATTATTACATTATACTGACATTTATTTTGTACTGAAAGTTGGAGGTACTTCAATAAAAATATACTTCAATATCGCAGTATAATCTCCTTAAAATGCACTACTTGGCATACATGTCCAAAACACAAAGTTTAAAAAAACAGATATATACATGTGTTTTACATGTGTAATGTGTATTCTGGACAACAACTCTTCCATCCATCCATTCTCTTCTGCTTGTACATATCAAGGTCACAGTGGAGGGGCTGGAGCCTATCCCGGGGTACACCCTGGAGAGCTCACCAGTCTATCGCAGGGCTACAAACTGATGTAACTGATGTGTTATAGTCTTATTACTATCTTTTCATGAAGCTCCACTTCAGTGTGTGGCCACCATTTTCTGAAAATGCCTATTTCCATTGTTTTTCTTGGACACTACTAAAGTAAATCAACCTTATTAACAGTTCAACAGTTCTGAAACAAACGGCTTTAAAGCTCATTTCCCTTTAAGGCAACTTTTTTTAGACGGGAAGGACTGATACCATTTGCTTTCTAGCTCTAATCTAAACATTGTCACTTATTAATCAGTCACTAGCCACTAATATGGCTAACATTAACGTGTGCAGTCAGGTTCACATTTATAATAACTCTTTAAAACTTTAATGTTGTTGAAACCAGTGTTTTAATGACTTTGTGAAATTCCTCATAAAAACTAGGTTGACATAATTTTAGATACTTCTCCAAGTTTGATCTGCAGCTGTTCACGTGTTCAGCTGGTAGTGAGGGGAGGGGCTGTGTACCTGCCTGTCTGCAGCATGCTGTGTGAAGTTGTGTGCTAACTGTAGGACGCAAAGATGGGATTTTATCAATACTGTTGCAAATCACTACCTAATCCATTAATCAATTTTAGTACTGGTTAGTATTTGAGTATACATTTTTTGACAAAATCTACTGCCTGTGGTAGGCTTCAAACTGCACTAATAAAGGAGTACTTGTGCATTTTTACTAATAGTAGAATTTTGTTATTTAGAGGTATTATAACTATTGGTTCTGGTCTCCTTTAACATGCTGGTAAATTAAGTAACTTTTAGGATTAGATGACAAACAAAAATTACCTCATGAGAATAACATTTCTGCTGTGCAAATTTGCACAAACCAACAATACACATACAAGAGATGAGATATTTTTACACACTGTAATGCAACCAGATGACAGAAGGGCTGTCCTCCATCAGTCTGACTGTACTATCAACATTTCTATTCCCACGCAAACAATATTAAGGCTCAACTGATTAACTGATTTTTTAAAATAGCCATTTAGACTCGCTGCTAAGCATTGGCATATCTGGGTCCCGCTACCCTTTTGTAAGGATCATTCTGAATTGTAAGTCTTGGAAGTGAGGCCTCTCGTCACTTTTTGAAGGTTTTAATGGTTTGGAGGGATAAATATTATTAAAAAAAACACAGTAGGAGTAAGATTAGATTTGGGATCTGGTGATCTTGGTTAAAGGGAATGAGTCAAACCAATATGAGCTCTCTTAGCGTAGAAGCCTGCATGTGCGTTCAAAATTCAGTCCAAGATTGTGCTGACCGTATAAAGAATAAAAGCTCTTTTTTTACCCTCATGGAGAGTTTAATTGGCAGGTCATAACTGCTTCATCCTCTGACCTGACCTCATGCCCAAATCTGCACACCAGCACCTGAACCACAAGCGCTCCACAACCTCCAAATCACACAGCTCCTAGAAAAACGACTTTAGAATATAAATGGGTTTCTCTTTCCATCATCAGCATCAGGGAGGAAGGTGTGAATAGAATGGAAATGAGAGGATGTGAAAAAGAGGAGGGGGGAGAGAGGGACGAGAGATGGTTGCAACCTTGGAAAGAGACAGACAAAGGGAGGGGCGAGGAAAAGGACAAAAGTTAAGGGATGCTTAAGGGGAGAGGTGTGGAAGGGAGGAGAAGAGAGTGTGGGAACGGGAGGTTAATACGAAAAGAGAAACGGATACAGAAATTAAAAAAGGAAGTGAAGCGAAGCAGGAACTATTGATGAGGTCAACAGCGTCAAGGGAGAATGGAAGGACAAAAGGCGCAGCACAACATTTGACAAAAGACGCCGTAATTATTGATTTGTCACATCAGATGGCACACTTATGTATGGGATCTGTTTTTTAGGGTTTATTTATGCACTTAGTTTGTGACTTTCACCAAATACTGGTTTCTGTGGCCACGGCTGTGTAAAGTCGTGTGTGTTTGTGTGTGTGTGTGTGCCATGAAAAGCAGTCATGCCGATGGTGCTTATAGGATCACATTGTGCTTCTCGGGGTGATGCGGTGCATTCTGCGTGGTTGTTTGACTACAAAGGTCGTTACTCCGTGGGTTGCAACAGCACAAAAAATAGTAATTACACCAACCTCAGCCCTGGGGGAGGAGAAGAGGTCCATCTTTTGTGACTTCACTTGTTTCCTAGAAGACACAGATGGATAGAGACAAGCCATATAAGTGAACACTGTCTGCATACAAGTAATTCCTCGAAGTGACCTCAAAGTTTAACGCTCTGATGAATCCGCAAGAGATATTTCAGCAGTCATATTTCAGAGATATTTCCTGTAACATCGAGAAACTGGGAAGCTGTTTCCCTTTTCGAAAGCTCAGTCTGCTCTCTCTGGTCAGCTCCACAAGGCCTGAATGATAAAGCACAGTAAGCTTTAGAGTAAGCTTAAATGTAATTGACAAGACAGAGAAAAGCCTGCTGCAGTTATGATAACTGTTTTTCTATCTAACGTGATTAATTTGAACCCATAACCATTTTAAAGAAAATGAGAAATAATTAAATTTGACTCTTCGTCTTACTGGAGCGACTACATGTTTAAAACACTCACTCTGGGAAACAATGTGTCAATAAATGCTGGAAAACACTTGTGTCATTTTCAGGGCCATAAACCCTTTCACATTATTTAAGCACACAGATGTTTTGATTCCACATAAAAGGTTAATATGTGGTCAACAAACACTATTATTAATAATAATAATAATGTATAATATTAGACATTATTAAACAAATATACATTTTAACTCACGCAGCCCTTAAACTTTTCATTCAGCACTTTCAATATTTCAATTTGTCCAACACTTGTTGGACAAATTGGTTTCCTTGATTACATTTGCCATGCTATCATGCTAAACTAAGAATGCTAAGGATATTAAAATTGTCACTATGAGCGTGGTGGGTATGGTCACATTTAGGTCAAAGCACTGTTGTGCTGCACTGCAGTTACAATGCACAAGCACAAAGAAAGTCTTTTGTATTAAACATGTCTGAGAATAAAATACCTGAAACACCTAGCATTTTTTTATTTTGGATATAGTGGCAGAGATTCATTGAAATATTCAAACAAACAGAAATGCCTTATAAAAATTCTAATGAGTCTAATAGTCAATATTTGGTTTGACCACTTTTATTCGTCAACAGATAATGAACTCTGTCTCTTTCTTGTCATTTCAGGAATAGTTCTCCAGGCTTTTGTACGGGTATGCTTTTACTGCACTGATAGTATGTTTGGGATCATTACAATGTATAAAAATGAGGGAGTTGTCAGTAATATGCTTTCCAGGTCGTACTGCATGCTGGATCAAAATCTGATGGTATTTTTCTGTGTTCAGTATTGCATCAATTTTGACAAGATTTCCATCACCACCGAGTGACTCGCAGTCCAAACCATGACTGAGCCTCCACCGTGTTTCACAGATGGCTGTAAATAACTACTGTGCCTCTCTCCTGACCTCTTATGTACACATTAATGATGATTTAAACCAATAACGTGACATTGGATCCATCACTCCATAAAGCCTGTTATTTTCAGTGCAGTTTTTGAGGCCTGCCACTTCTTCTTTCTACTTCCTCAATATTGTTAAGGACACACTGCACACTAAAGCTCATAACTCTTTGAGAGTGCAAAAGTACAATTTCTATGTCGGACAAACTGTATTACCCGTGACATTTCTTATAGATTAAACTAAAGAAATGGGAACGAATTTTGGGCTCCTAATAGCAAAGCGCAGAAGTTTTCTGTTATTTGTAGACACAATGCTGATTCATCCTTTGAGTTAGGCTTCTTTTTTACACTTGAATGACTCATAGGCTACTGTTTTGTCAAGTGGCTAAAGAACCAAAAGCAAAAATCAAACATTATTTTAAAAATGGTCATGTACAAGGACTTGACTGGAAGTAAAAAGCAAGAAGTCCAAAAAAAACCCAACAACTTTGAAACCCTACTGGTTAAAAACCCTTTACAAAATTACAAGAAAATGTCAATCTTTGGAAGCAAAATCAAAATAAACGAGAAAGCTTGCTTGAGACTGTTGCACAGTACCATCCTTTCAGAAAGGTACTGTATTTACTGCAGACTACTGAAGCAACATAGGTACTGGCAGTGAAAGACCATGTAAAAATCAAATATGTAGCAATTCTTCAGGAAGGAAGTAACAGTTTCTTCAAATGTTCCAACAGACAAATCAACCAAAAGGCCATACAAACCGAGACAGGCGATCTAAGAGCAGAAGAAGCAATGAAAGTCTGCTTTTGCATAAGGTTCCTGTTGAGAGACTCTGCTTTTACCACATCTTCTGTTGATGTAATCCAGCCACAGGGTAAGGGACCAATCAAAAGTCTAAAAGGCTATTATAAATGAGGAAGTAGAACATGAAAAGGATAAAAAGCCTTTAAAAATAGAGATATCATCCTAGGTCTGGCGTCCACATATGTGGACATCACATTTTGGGTTGTCTAGACCAAAATACTAAATTTTGCTCTACAAGGGCCTGATATGCACTCACGAGGACATTATACTGCCACTGTTCTATCACAATTTAAAGCAACTGTCCTCTTATGTGGATCTCTTTTATCTCCGAAACAAAAATCAAGTAAAACAAAAAAATCGGGTCATTCTTTGTTTTTACATTCATCAGGTCCCAATCAGTATAAATAGCAAAGAAAAACTGAAAATGCATGCCATGAAAGAGTTCAGGTCTCAGGAGGTTAATGCCAAATGAAGGTGCCCTTGCCTCAGCTGAGACATCATCAGGTCAGGACACCCTTCTTTGATTTGACATCAAATATTTACGGGGTTTTTTGAGCGACAGCACCTGTCCTCTGATTAACAATATCAATACACTGCTGTTTCTTACGCTCAAACTCATCCATAACAAACTGACCCCTACTTTTAAAGGACTCCTTGAGTCTTTGAATAATAAAAAACAATACTCTATTTTACAAATCTTCTATCTTGAGCAGATCAAGTTTTTACTACGTCTACATGATCAGTCTTATCAGCCTGTCTCTCAGCCACTGATGCTGTCATTTCTCACATGTGTACAGTAGCTTTAAGAATCATATACTATAAATATATCTACACTATAAAAGCAAACACACATTGTGTGCGATAAAAGACTCACGTTGCGTTGGGGGAAATAGTTCAGGCAGGGAGCTGAAGTTCTTCTTGCAATAAATGACTGAAGTTAGAAGGACACGAGTGAATCACTCATCAGTTGTTTGGCTACCAGCTGACTCCTAGGTATCCAATTATATTCATGCAAAGTTGCATGGTGGCCATCACAAGTGAACTCTCTAAGCTTATTGCTCAACTGATTTACTTCATACCTGCAGTTTTTTGCAGAAGCGCTCGCTATCATCCTGACCTTAGCCATGTTATTTATGACAATATAATTTGCAGTTATGAGAAGAAATCCATTTTAAAAGCAGACTGCTTGCAGCTGGGAGCCAAGCCTTTTAATTCCACATCTAAATGGACAGCCATTATCATAAAGTATTAAGTTAATTCATCCTCTGGAAGGCTTTTTGCTTCATATTTCCTGATAAGAACATAGTAAAGCTATAAATACAAAAGATTTTGAATGCTCTCTTAGTCATGACCTGAAAAAAAGGTCCATTATGCATTAAGATGATGCAGACCTTCCCTATATGACCAACCCAAGACTAAGCCTCATGTGGAAGCTTGAAGAGTTTCCATGTGATTTATGATAACCAAGACAACTGGGTGTTGAATGCAGCAGCATTTCAGTTTTTCTCCGTATGCTCAGTGAGATCTAAGCTGTTATTCAACCCTCAGTGAATTCATTTTGAATTTGTGTGTGGGCTAAACGCCTATTAATGTATTGTTATGGAGGAAGTAAAAGCTTATATAAGCAAAACACATGTTGTGGGTATCTGTGGTCAACTGACCCTGAATTCATAGATGCACAAAATGTTTATACCTTTAAATTAAAAGTGGAGCGCTTAAGCCAAGTTTCAGGTGAAGAGCATCATCACATGTTTTTAGCACTGATTCACTGCCGGCATTGGGATCTTCTTGTGTACATCACCAAAAGCCAAACTGCAAGACTTAAATTGAAGTACAAAGTTTCATCTCTCTCTGCTTTCATTTCTGTGCAATTAAATTTGCAGTCTAAATGACCTTCAGTATTGACTGAGTACTCAAAGTTAACAGCAGCTATCGAATTAAAAAAGTTTTGTGATGAACATTCTTGAAAATGTTTTCCCTTTCATCCTCCACGAGGAGTTACATAAGTCAAGTCTAAGGACCATGAGACATTCAAAGATTGCAGGAGTTACTCATAAAGTAGAACACAAGTTTATGAGATTAGCTGTATGATAAAATGAACCTAGGTTTGCCTGAACCTGTGCATCTCATCTGGGGGGAATTGACACTGAAGTGCTAATAGCTTCAAGCAAGAAAAACCAGTTTAAATATTTATGGAAATCTGCACTCCTGGGTTTACGCTTTTGGGGGAAATGTATTCTCTTCTCTCTCCATCTTCAGAGAGGTAAATGATGTTGCTGGAGCTTCATCTTGCCTGCTCATATAATTCATACAAGACCTGCATCCAGTCTGCTGTAATTATTTTAATTTCAAAGCACAGTTATTTGAGATGAGGAAACATGTTCCTTAAGAGAGCAAATTGCACTAGATTGATCTTAATTATATTCATCTAAAAAGATTTTTTTCAAAGCTAAATGAGGCATTTTTCTTTTCGAAGAGTCAAAATGCTTCTGAAATTTCACAGATTAAAGCCACATTTTAACCTTCCAGTTTTTTCAGAGGTATTTATGCCTTGAAAGCAAGCCATTCAAAGCCAGCAATTACCCTCCTTTGTCATTATTTGCAGATGCATCAACTTTAAACGTGATACACTCTGGCTACACCTTTTGCACAGTTAAATACTTTGTACTTAGAGAAATGTTCAAAAGTCTCAGGCTGCCCCACATTTCTTTATATTTTGACAGGAGAACGCTTGAGTGAGACTGCAAGGCCTTAACGTTCTTCGAAATTATTATTTTTTTGGTCAATCAAGTCCATGTACCGGACCATTTATCTGAAAGTCAAATCAAGCAATGACCCATCTTGATCACCCAGTTGATCAGTTGCTGTTCCCCAAAGCCTCATCAGAAATGGTCTCAGTGGACGAGAGGCCGTCAAGAATTCATTTCTAAGAAAGGGAAATGGGAAGGAAAGACCAAAGTATTCCAAATTACACAAGAAGTGGATTGAAAATCGATGGAGTCATGAATCCAGATTTGAAAATTGTTGTTCAAATTGCTGTCAATATGAATGTAAAAGGTCCAGACAGGGGTATAACAGTGAGTGTCAAACAGCCATCTCTAAAACAGGATGAAGGCTCACTCATGGTTTGGGGCTGCATTTCACGAAGTAGTGTTGGGGATCCCATCAAAACTAATAGATTTATGAATGCAGAAAAGCTTGATCCACCATGCAATACCATCGGGAAAGCATTTGATTGGCAGCAGCTTCATTTCTTAGTGTTATCCCAAACACAATGCCTGTGCAGTAAAAGCATACCTGGAAAACTCACACTGGAACACCATCATTCATATGCTGGCCTCCCCAGAGCCAGGACCTCAACATTACTGAAGCAGTGTGGGAACAGAAACACGAAGAAAAAAAAAAAGCACACAGAAACACAAAAGAAAGAAAAAGAAAAAGGCAGCCAAAATCCAAAGGAGAGCTTTGAATGTTCTTTAAGAAGCCCGGAGAACTATTCCTGAAGATTGCTTAAAGAAATGACAAGAAAAGCTACCTAAGAGAGCTCAGGCTGTGTTGAAGAATAAAGTTGGTCAAACAAAGTACTGACTTTGTGTGTTTAAGTCGCTGAACTTCTTTCCCATTTACCTAGCAAAATACTAGTAAAAACGTTTGTAACTGGTGTCTCCTTTGATATAAAACTAATTTCTTTATAGTGACGTCTGACTTGGTGTTAAAGGAGTCAATCTGTGTTTTGGCTTGTTACCATGGGGAATTGTGGGACTTACACTTTGCGGGTATTCGGGCGGAGACGCCTCAGGGCTCGCGGCTGATGCTCAGAATCCTGTTCCGTCTGGTAGAAAAACATCCTGAGAGCCTCGTCTAGCAACACCCATGTTGGCAAACCCAGCAACCTCTTGATATAAGAGAGAGAGAGAGACATGGAATGAGGGAAGAGTGAAGTAAAAAAAGAAAAATGGATGAACGATAAGGACATGCAAGAAAGATGGAGATGAGGACTGGTGTAAAAGGAGGGAAATCAGGGTGGATGAATTGAGACGTCAACAGAGACAAAAGGGGTGTAAAGAGAGTGGGAGTTTGCTGGAAGAGGAGAAGGAGATGCAGGGTGCTGGGAGAGAAGGAGTGGAGATGAAGCAAGAAGTGTAAGGCGAGTGAAGGCGAGAGAGTGTGGCAAAGAGGGAGCGACGTAGGTTGCGGGAAAAAAGAGAGTAGAGCAGAAAAGAGAAGTGAGTGAGTAGGAGAAAGAGAACCTGATCGTGTTTTTAGCGATGGTGCAACACTGAAACATGTCAAAAGTCCCACAACTACAGTCAGTCAGACATGATGTGGGCACAGGGCAGAGCAAAGAGAAGAGAGCAGCAACGCCTACATGTTGAGCTCGATCTGCAAACTACAGCTGAAATATCCGAGTCAGTGCTTATCCACCTACAGCATCGTTCAGCCCACTGCGTTGTAGGCTACCGCACTGCACGCTGCAGAAGATGGCAAACATGCCAACAATTCTTTCCTCTGTTGGAAATTTTTAAAAAGACACCGCATCGTGCATAAAAATGAAATGTGATTACCTTCATGTACGTGTTGAGTTCAGGGATTCTGCTCTCTGCAATCTCCTTTTTGTTTCCGAGGAAGATTTTTCCTAAAGAAAACGCATTAAAAAAGTGATTGCACACATGAGATTACACTCTAGAACAGGGGCCATAAAAATGCATTCACATAGAGGACATGCATACGTATGTTTACAATACAGCTGTTTTTGTAAACAAAGCAAGCATGTAAACATGCTCCGATACTGTTGATGCTCTAGTACACTTAAACACCAAGAGCCTGTAAATGTCAATTATTAATTTTAGCTTGATGATTGTGTTCAGTTTTTAACACCAAAAACCAGGGAAATGCGTGCAGGTACTATATAAAACCCAGGTAAGTATAATCTAGGTAATTTATATTTACTAGCATATATTGTTGTGCCTTTCTGCTCATGTCCTTAGCAGTGAGTGTAAACACTCAAAAAAACACAAAAAAGGATTAGGATTCAAAATAAGTCATTTTTATAAACATATACGGTTTATAAATGCTGATTGTGTGACAATGTTTGTGCAAAGTTTCATTCAGATAGGCCAACCGACTGACAAGGTGATAAGGTACATATATGAAGATTATGTGGTAACATTATCTCCTTACTTGCTCGAACTCACAAAGACTGAAAGTGTTTAGATGCACGTGTGTCGCAAGTATAAGTTTTAAGTTCAGGGTTTTTTTATGTTACACAACTTGGTTTAGCATGTTAGCATGCTAGCAATGGTACATTTTTGCAATCACAAAAGCACCTTCAAGTTAAGTTAAGCTAATGTATTTGGGAGAAAATGTCCTTAAGTTTCATGGCAATTCATGCAGCCAGAGGAGGTTTGGAAATCTGTAGTTATTGTGTCAGCAGAGCGTCGGTGACTTTTACACACCATAGGCCAGATTTACAAAACAGAGCAAAGTAGTACCAAATAGCGCTCAGCAATGTGGTTAGTTCTACAAAAGATGCACTGTTTCTTAAACACAAGAACAGTCAGTTCATTTCATTATCAGGCATGCTTTTATTGGCTTTAAATACCATTGCAATTAGCAGCAAACTGCGCGTTGCGGATGTTAGTGAATCCTTTTGTGTATATGATTTAAATATTCTCCTAATTACATTCCGCATTTTAAGAAAGGAACTCCCAGAAATACAAATGTAACAGGGTCAGTTGCACTCTGTTCCCACCTATTACATATAATCTTGTCACTCTGTAAAAACCAGCAGCACTTTTTTGATGCTAAACGCAGTTTTAAAGTAGCGTGTTAGCAAATTGCTAGTAAAACTCGCTCTGTAACTTTAGGTGACCTGCCGCTTCATTGCCGAGTTGCCGTGATTCCCAAACTCATTCATTTAGCAATAACACTACGTACAGCTGGGCAAATGTTCATGCAGGCAGACTGCATTGCTAGGCGCTTGATTTTATACTTCTTTTATCTGTGGGACTGAAAATACCTTAATTCAACAATTAAGGGTGTAGCCCAACTCATATGTCAATGTGTTAGACAGCTAACACATTTATCCTGTCCTAAACAAGGCAAATACTCCTTACTTCAAAAGATTGTGAAAATAGCATATTACTCTTCCTAATATCACATTACGTCCAGTCAAAAAAATTACGAGGCACAGCACAGACTCCTAACAGTCTAAATCAGGCCCCACCAATTCATCCAAGGCCATCTAACCCTGCTGTTAAATCAAATTTAGCACAGTCTTAATGACCCTCAGCCCTCTCTCTTCACTCAATTTCCCTTGTCTCATTCACTGTGGAGCACGATAACTCACTCAATCACTTGCAGGCACAAGTTCATTCATTTACTCACTCACTGATGAATCAGTCACCCATCCACTCACCTAAATGCTCCTTTGACCTTGAATTTATAGCTGTCACGTATGACTCAGAAATCAACATTTAAGATAGAAAAGCATAACATAGCACCAAGCTCACAAGAAAGAAACAAAGAAACGCACACATGATACTGAAACATTATTTACGTCTCCTTAATGAGAATAGCTTTATTTGAAAAGACAGACCTCGATCCTTTTCTGCTGTCTTTTTTTTTTCTGCCCTCAAAATCATCACCCATCCTCGCCTGTCTCCCTTCACTCTCTCCCCTGTCTTTCTTATTCCCTTCCCATCCTGATGAGATCTGGCACTGCAATTAAACCCATCAGATCTAATATTATCCAACAGACTCCTCAGTGGCAGACGTTAAATCAGAGTTTGTAGAAAAGTAGAACTTTCCCGATATAGCAGCTGGCATTGCGAGATATGGCGGTACATGTTACAACAAATTGTAAAATCGTAAAATCTTTACTATAGTGTTTTTTAGTAAAAGCCTTCTTGCTTTTTAATAAGAAATCAAACATATGACTTAAGCAGCTGTAATTTGGTAGGTTGATCATAGTGATTTATAATGATTCATAATGACCTTGACATTAGCTGAGGGAACAGAAAAGCATTCTGAACGATGCCCGAAAAGGTTAAGAAAGAAAGAACAAGAAAGAAACCCTTTAAGCAGGACACACAGAAGAATTAAGAAATCAGAGAGTAAGAGCCTGGTTTTAATGGATTGCAAAGGATTTGGCTCTAGTTATAAGACAGCACCTCTAAAATACACAAGATCAGTAAAAGTTTCCACTGGTTCCTAATGTGTAGCTAATGAAGGCTTTTTTCCCCCTAATATTTAAAAGCCAGTAAAGTTACACTTTAAAAATATTTTTAAATAATAATTTAAATAATAATAATTTTACAAACCAGCTAAAATACTGCAGTAGACACAGCTTATAAAGATGGCTTGTGTTGGAGGAAAAAATTTTTTTTTTTTCCTCACATCTTGAGGGGTCAAGCTCAGTAAACTTTTACGTGATTTATTTAGATTTGACCGTAGGCTCTACATAGAAAGTTTTTTTATGTTCCAGTAAATACTGTAAGTGTAGTTATGGCTCCTTCAGCCCTCTTTTTTTGTCCTGTTAAATAATTGTCTGGGGCATTTGAGTGGTGAATCTGGCCTATAAAGGATATGATGCAGTTTCAGTGATACTTCAGTAGTTTATGGGGACATTTTAGAAACATTAATGGCATGGCCATCAACATGAAATATGCTTTCAGTTTTGTAGTAATCAGCAAAGCTAGCAAAATAACACAAAAATAGCTAAAATGATAATGATGGAAAACACTGCACCCGCTGAACATGAGCATTTTAGCATTGCAACTATGAGTATGTTAGCATGCTAGCATGGCAACATTAGCGCTTTGTACATAGCTAAACACAGAATCAAAGAAGAGCTGAAGTGACAGTAGGGGTGTCCAAATTCATAGGCTGCATCCTCCTGAGGACCCTTCCTTCGCGGTCTACGTGGGCCGGGTCCTCAGAAGGTCGGGTAGGCTGGAAGTAAACAGCTGTGAAATTGGACAGTCTAGCCTTCAGATTTGCGTCACCGCTGTCTTGGTGGAGTTTAATAAACTCAGCCGTCTGCTCCTTGCTATCTAAAATATAACAGGACACAGACGTAAATTCTCGACCATCTCACACTTCTGTTTAATCAGTTTTCTGTTTGATGTTTATTCAGCTCAATGAAAACCAAGGAGGAACCCACCCGAGGGAAGTTTTATTTTATCAAATAACTTTAATCTCTGCCAGACTGATTTATTCACAAAAAAACAAAACACTGAAAAACAGCCAAATAATAACATTTTTAGGTTATCTAAGTGACTTATATATCACGTTTAACCTGAGTAGCAAACGACCGCAGTGATCTGACAATGATTTGCCGGGAGTTTCCCGGCTAGCTATCGAGCTGGTGGGTAACAGACGTCTCCGAAAACGTCGGAGCACTTTTGCAAATATGTGATATCTTGATAAACTGAGCAGATATTTGAAGTTTACACATGTTTTTATGTTAAAAGTGTATTTTGGGACCCAGAAAGAGTAATAAGAGTAATATTAAAACTTAGTAGCGGCCGCCATTGTTGAAAACCGGAATTGGCTGGGCTGCGCTATGAATTCTGGGATATGGTGGGCCACGAAGGATACACCTGACCCATCCTTCAAATTTGGGGAAAAGGAGGATGCATTTGTCGGCTGAATTCGGAGGAGTCTACGAATTTGGACAGCCTTCGTCACGTCGCTGTGACGTAATCAGCCTACAAATGCGGCCTCAGGAGGATGCAGCCCATGAATTTGGACACCCCCACTATGTCTCAACCTGAGGCAAATGGTCACCAAAGTGTATTTGATCAACTTTTTCCCCTGACTTTAATTTACTGTAGTGTCCCACTTCAATACCAACAACATCCCACCACCATGTACGGTATTAAGTTTGGGTTGTTGTTTTTTTTAAGTGCCAATAACCAGCTGTCCAGTACCCATCTCAACTTGTGTTTCCCTACATGCAGACTTTTTAGTTTTTGTGCAAGTCCTCAATGGCTCACTTTTATAGGCTAGTTTAAATGCATTTTTACTTTAGTTTTGTATTTTAAATTGAATCAAATGAAAACTGCAACTATAATGTGACTAGTAGTTCTAATGATGAGACAGAGCCATTTTGCCAAGTAAATATAATGTTTAATAATGACAATGACAAGTTAATAACCAAGCTAAAGCCTGTGAATCCACAGAAATAAATCTGTAATCTATTTGTAATCTACACACAAAACAATCACCTCTGTCTGTCCTCATCCTTCTTAAATCAATGCTCCGAGCCACCCATTCAAAGCCCTCAGGCTTTTATTGGTGCACACGTTGGTTTCCAGCCACTGATAATCAATACAGACACTGACGCCGCCTCCCAGACAGACAGACTTATGGGGAAACAATGAGCTGAATAAAGCCAAAGACACAGAGCAGATGAGGACAGACACAGCCACACAGCAGCACAAACAGTGACTGAGGCCTGAATATACTTTGGCTTTCACATTACAATATTTTATCTCAAGTCTCTGTGCTTATGATTATTTTATCTTACATCCATCATCAAGGTGAATAGCAGTGCAGAGTGTGATTGCTTTGGCATGTTTGTCTGTCTCTTAGCAGGACTACAGAAAAACTACTGAGCCAGTTTTTCAATGAAATTTGTTAGGTGGGATTGGAATTCTCATTTTGGTGTAGATCCTGATAAAGGGCTGGATTCTGGATATTTCTTTATGATACAGTCACACCAGATTGAACAAGATGGGCTCCCAGCTCTTAAAGATCTCGGAGACAATTTGAAATTACATCTGCTGGGCTGCAGTCCCCATGTCAGCTAGTCTTTTGATTGGTCGGTATGCTTTCATCTGATCAAATTCTCCGTAAAGCGCAACATTTATAACCTTTCTGGACTAATCCATTAATATTGGCAATTTTGGAAGACTACTTGTTCAAAATGGGTGTTTTAACATTAGCAAAAAATCACCAGATCTCCTGTAACGGGCCTTGATGCATGCTCAATCATCTAAGTAAGTAAATCCCAAAAGTGGGAGAAACATTTCGTCGCTCATCCAAGTGACTTCTTCAGTCACGAAGGATGAGTGACGAAACGTGACGAAACGTGACGAAACGTGACGAAACGAAACGTGACGAAACGTGACGAAACGTGACGAAACGTGACGAAACGTCTCTCAATGAACATTGGGCTGTGAGATCAAGGAACTGATCTCACAGCCCAATGTTCATTCAGTGGGCTAGTTCCAGTCATTGGTTGGGGAAACCTGCAGTCAGCTGATACGGAGGAAGTCACTTGGATGAGTGATGAAACACTCCTCCCACTGAAAACCCTACATCCAGATAAACAGATCAACCTTTTGGGACTACTATAACGAGGTTAGCTAGGTCTAACTAAATGTTTTTGTTGACTAAATGTTAACTTGGAGCTGGCAGCAGTGTAACTGACACTATGCTAAAGAACAATCTGTGTTGATGCATTTTGGACCAAAGAGTCAAATGTAAACTTGGCAGCTAACAGATACCATCCAAAAATGGCAGGCTTACTTGGTGTTAGAATGATCAAACAGTGCTTGTGATAAAGGCTTGAGGCCCTGGATTCCAGCCACAGCTACAGCCAGCTCCAGCGCCTGCCAGCAGCAGCAGCTACATGAGTTGGAGGCAATGGGTGTGCTCTCATGTAAAGAAAAAATTACACCACAGTGGGAACTCTGAAGCCTGTTAGCTTACTGCTCAATAATTCTTGTGTTCGGACCACTAGATGACGTATTTACGGAATTATATGAATATGGGCAGGTGAACGCTAGAGTAGGAATTTAATTAACCAATCTTTTACATTATTTTTTAACAAATGACTATCAGACTGTTGGGTTTTAGTAGAGATCTGAGTGCCCTGCTAGTATAACCCTGTCTTTTCATCAATGCTGTCAAAATTGATCAAATTAAAACCTTCATTAACTACTGTATATTAAAAACTAGGTGGGTTAGAAACGGATTCACATACCTCCGTCTTCTCTGCCTGTCACTGAGCTCTAAAAAGCACTTCAGTAGTTGACTCATTATCACACTTACCAACTTTTCCTAATTTAAATTTTTTGTTTCATTGTGGCCAGTGCAGGCATTTCATCCAGAGCTTAATCTTCTTCGACAGCAGCTCATTTGCAGTGGAAAATGACTTTTCTTCCAGATTGTTAACTGTCTAGATGCACTCTGTTGGTTGAACTTCTTTCTTATTTCTACTTATATGATTCAGCCTCCCTTCAAAAGTAAAGTTCTGTTCACAGACACTTAAGTACCCAGCAAGAAGCGACTCAATATAAAACTCTAGGCATAAGGTATGGATGTTTCAAAATACTTTTACAGTTGTAGTCTTTATAAGGTCTCTTTTAAGATAGTAGTTTTCATTTTGACAGCATTTAAGAAGTGAAGTAACAGTGATAATACTCCAGTTAAGTGAAGCCATGATAGGAGTTTTCAAGAACTTCAGTGATAACATAAGAAATGCACCATCTTAGCCATCATAGCAAAGAGCCCATTAACCTTGAGTACAAACTAGCATGTATAGTTTAAGCACAAGCTAGCAGAATGTTTGGCTGTACTTTTAATTTCAGTAATGGTAGGGATGCAATGCTTGTTTAAAATGGCTGTTTTAAAGTCACCAAATCATGATGAAATCAGTCAAGTCAGTATATTCCATCAGTAAGAAAAACCTCAGTATCAACCTGCAGCTAACTAGCATGCTAAAGTGAGTCGATGTCCTGCTCTGCTGAGTTTAGATTTGTTCCCGACACAGATAATCCAGGGACAAAAGTGGTCACGATGGAGCAATTGTATCCCCCAGCTGGTGCTTCAGCATACAAGTCACTGATTGCTACAAAAAGGGTGCTTGGGTTTCTCTGCTCCGTCGGCTGCTACATACCTGAAGCCCCTGGAAATGGATGAATGAATAAATCACCCTCTTCTTACTGCCTCTCAAAATCTTCCCCTTCAATTTTGCTCTTCTTTCCCTTCTCTATTCAAGTTAGTCTCTGTATTTTGCCCGTGGCATTCATCTGCCCTTCTTTCCATATGCTCTTTCCTGACTAATCTGAATGTCAATCGTTGTGGATTAAAGGAATTACTGTCCTCTGATGTATGGTTTGGTTTAAACTGACCTTGTAGGGGCACCATGATACCTGCTGGCTTGTAATGCTGGATTTTTGACATTTAGCCACATAACATGACAGTAAATGCTTCAAGTGTGTCTAAAGATTTGAGCGCGAATAAAAGAAAAAGCACAATAAAGTTCACTGGGTTTGGTAGAATATAAACTTCATTCTAAACCCATTTTACTTCAGCTGAACAAAAGTAGATCTCAATCTTCTTTCTGCGGATGTCTCGGTGGAGAAAGAGGATTGTAAATGCAGCATTTGGAGCACTCATGCTTCACATTATTATGCAGCAATGGGTGCCTAAAGTGTGCTATAACTAAGCTCTTGTGGCTTAAATAGAATCCGATTTGAATAGAAGTGAGCTCCCACCAAACTTAATCAAATCTTTAAGGGACGCAACAGTTTTTATTCTTTATAATATCAATATTAATTCACTAAAGGCATCCAATTATGTCTCAATCTCCCCCTGAATACATGAGAAAAACAAAATCAAAACAACAAAATGTAAGCACAGCAACAAACACAGCAGCCATATGCATTTAGTAAAGAGTATTCAGAGGGGTTTCAGTTCTTCCAGAGACAGAGAGGAAATTCAGTCAGGTGTCTCTGTGAACCTGCTCTCCTATGCATGGAGGAGAATAAGCATGCAAGCATGTAAGGTTATGGAGCGACAATACAGGAAGGATCCAGTAGGAGTTCCCTTTGTGTAACTTTGACACAGCTAAACTGTGAAACTAACCATTACAGTAGATACCATTTTCCCACACTCATTACAATATTTCACACTAGACCAAACTATTGTTTGACTTTTAGGGAACATATTCAAATTCAGTCTGTTTGCCTTGAGTTAGTGAACCCACCAGCTCTTATGTGGGCCATTTCTGCCATGGTGGAAATCACAGCACATACCATGCAATTCAGAAAAGCAATTTAGCAAGACTGAAAATCAGAAGCTGTGACTGTTGACATAGTCCGAGTACGAGGCATGCCTGAAAAGATTTAGATAAGCTTCAGAGGGCATAACAACCAATCTGCCAGCAGCCGGATACTAACAAGCGCATATTTGAGCGACATAAAATCTTGCACCGTGCATGCCACTGACGATCAACAGTGCACACCCACACACACACCTGGAAGAGGAGGCAGGATGCAGGTGTTTGGGCCCAGTTTGGCCAGGTTTTCTGAAGAGTACCTGGCCTCGAGGATCTGGTGGAGGTTGAAAAATTCCCGGTACCTCCTGTAGATTAGGTACTTACTCTCTCCTTTAGTCTTCACCTCAATCACGAACCTCTGAGAGAGAAACGGAGGCATGAATGAAAGAGAAAAAGAAACAGCTGAGCCTGGTATTCTGAGCCAGTCTCAGTGAAAAACATCTCAGCCCTTTAGTTTTTTTAATGCTTACAAAGTAGTCGATGAAGCCTTTAATCTCCTCGATATCAGCAATGGTGGCGCTGATTGGGATGTTGAGAGGGAGCTGATCAAAGTCACTAAAGCAACAAGACCAGATCATTTAAGACAAAAATGACACAAAGAAAAACTTACACACACACATACACACACACACACACACACACACACACACGCAAACAATGAAAAACATAATCTACAATTAAAAAGGTTTTGTTTTTAACATGATGACAGCTGTGCTGTATGAATAAAACAACCATAAAACATGCTGATCTTGATTTAGTTTGGTCTTTTTAGATCAAATTAGATATGTTACAATTATTCACCAGCAATCAGAAATGAACTTCGCAGCCAGTCTGTGCACAAAACATCGGCTCACCGACTCTAACCTGTCACCTGTAGACAGACTCACCTTTGGTCGCGTAACTGCTGCGGCAGAGACATGATGATGAACGCAGAAGAAACTTTAAAGCTGCTAGTGAACAAAGCACTTTTCACACACACCACAGGCTGACTGACTTTCAAACTGACAAGCGCAATAGTGCGGAGAAAAGCAACAGGAAGCGAAAGTTCCTTAAAAAAAAGATCAGCAGACGGGTGCGCGCGTTTGGCCACACAGATGTGTGGGGAAGTCTCACTGCACACACACAGACAATACACACAGGCGTCATCAGCTGACAATCCATGTGGTAAAAGCGTAAATTTCACTGGAAACAAAAACGCATAAGGATAAAAACTCAAACACTCAAGCAGAAAATAACCGTATGCGGACTTAGATGTGATTTAGTGAGCGTTTAGATATCTGTGGTGTACAGCCTTTCGCACTGTGCCTGTGTTTACACACTTAACAAGTAAGTACTCCATGAACCCAGCATGTGTGACACACTTCACGCTTCTTTGCACTGGCAAGGCATCGCGCACGTTGCGAGAGCTGATCTCGGTTTCTGTATTACTTTCTTTCTTTTTCAATACAAGTTGTAAATTGGAAGCAGAATTATTAATCAGCAGGTTTCGAATCTCTATAGTTTCTGAATGTGCGCCAGGGGCGATTCTAGGATACAATCCTTGGGGGGGGGGGGGTATAAACAGTATATAGTGCAATATGCTGTTTGGAAATGTTTTTTGCTTCATGGCTCGAACGTCAAGAAAACGGTTTCTCTTTCAAAACCGCCAAGGATAAGATGGAGGTTAAGGACAACGACTAAAATGACAAAGGACATCGATGTCCTTTGTCATTTCAGATCCTTGGCTGGCAGCTGGCAATGCGTCGGCGCTCCCAAATTATGTTTTTGATGCTATGTAATGTGTGTGTGTGTGTGCGTGTGTGTGTGTGTGTGTGTGTGTGCACTGTAACATCCTGGAGGCAGTTGAAGCTTTCTTGATGTTGTGACGTTACAATGCTCAGAAAATCATACTAAAATGCAATATGCTTGCTACTAGCTGAACGAATTTTGTGTCCTTGAGCACCCCTCAAAAGACTCTCACCAGTAACATGCACTGAATAATATACATTATACATATGTTATGTATATATATGTATATATATTTTCAGCTATAAATAAATTTCATTTTGTGTGTGTGTGTTTGAGTTTTAAGGTGCCGCTCCCCTTTTGTAAACCAGTTTCGGTGGCAGATTTTAAAATAGAACTGTGTGGTTTACATGAAGCACTGGGACTCCCCAAGCATTTCTCAGGATTTTGTCCCTTTCATGGTTTATTTTTGAAACACTTCCTCAGAGTATATGTACAACCAGCCACATCCACCACCAGGAAGTTAAAATTACAATAAATAACTTGAGCTGATTAGCAAGATTCCTGTGAGCAAGTAAGAGGCCTCTTCAGTAGTGATAGCCTTGTTGGACACACTGCACCGCATCTGTGCAAACTAAATAGGTCCGATTTCCGCTGCCATCCTGTATGTCTATAGTTAACTGCAAATGCTGACCACTGAATACAATTTTCAGTTGCGATTAACCATGAAACATTGAGTAAACTTATTTTTGACCTAATATAATGGATAAAGGATTTGTTTACAAATATTCCTGTAGTTCAACACTCTTTAAATCAGTGTTGAAATAGAAATAAACAGCACACATCTCTATATAACCTAAGCTGAATAAGACATCTGAAAACGTGTGAATGTACTCTGATACTCAGTGAACATGCCATAAGTTTACCTGCCCTGTCAGGTCTGCTCCACCAGACCTTTGCATCTGCTATATCTCAGTTTAAGCCCAGAGTCACAGTTAACTACAAGTGATCAATAATCATTGAACTGCCAGCATGTTTAACTGTAACCACACGTATTATTTTCTCTGTTATTTAAAATAAAAAAACAGGAAGTTTTGAGGCAAAGGCCAAACATGGGTTAACATTTAATACCCGAGGTACACAGAAGGCAGATTACAGGGTACACAGATGGTCTCTGAGCAGGACCCCTCTCACTTTTGTCATTTAGCTCAGAATAATATAATACCTGCAGTACAGAGGCACAAGGAGGAAATTACAACTGCCACTGGTGTCAGTGTGTATTAGATGGCATTTTTATGCTTGATGGTTCTGTAGAACAATCTGTAAACCCAGCACTGCCATATTATAACTCCATAAAGCTGTCATAATGTGGTAATTAGCTATTTTCAAATGGAACAGACTCAATAAAGCTGAATCTCCATTCTCCTTTTACCTCGGAGAGAAATATCTGGCTCTTTAGCTACTAAAAGAACTACATCATAATGGCGTCTCACAGATATGCAGAAGATATCTTTAGATGTGCGATGATCTCACTTCCAACTTGTCATCATCATTATTATTATTATACAAATGCAAGTAAAGGACTTTTTTAAGATAATGTGTTGAAAGAAGGCACAATCTTTTCTTAAACCTAGCCAGTGAATCCAAAGTTTAAAAAAGCAAGTGAAAATAAAACTACGTAATGACTGAAAACGTGAAATAAAAACCTGAGAAATCTCCATCCATCCAACCATTTATTCATTTTCTTCTGCCGCTTCAGTTCAGGGTGCCGGAAAGGAGAGCTGGCTGCTGTCAGAGGACAAGAGGTGGGATAAACCCCGAGCAGGTCGTCAGTCTATCACCGAGCTAACACAGAGAGACGGGCAACCATTCATGCTCACATGCACACCTCATTTATACTCCAACAGGTTAACCAGGGATGTTGGACTGTAGGAGAAAGCTGAAGTAGCATGTCTCTGTGTTTCATCAATTACTGTTGTAACCATTGCATTATGGCGTCAAAACAAAAGGAGAAAAACCAAAACAACGACCTGAAAAATGCCAAATTCCTCCAACTTTTCTCAGAGCAGCACCTTTCTAATAACAGTGTCATTTATCCGGCATTTCATACTGTGTAAAACCCTGATACAGGGAACTTTGATTTTTGAGAGACACGGTTTAAATTTAACTGACATAAATTAGACAGAAAAAAAAGAAAAATTAAAAAATCTTTAAGTGACGTGCATGACTGGTCATTTTTGCTGACCGCATTTTGCGATCAGATAATAAATTAGGATGTCAAACAGAGATTTTCACATGTACAGTAAAGTGTTTTAACTGAGAAGAAATGCCTACCAGAATGAGCTATTTACAGTAATAACGACTGCATGTGTACACAGTGCATGTGTACACAGTGCATGTGTACACAGTGCATGTGTACAAAGCCTCTTACAAAGGCTCTTATTGGCTTTTGACTGAGAAGCATAATGGTGAGATCAGAACAGTCATTGTTCTTTAAGGCGTGTTCAAGCTTTCTCCACCACCTATTTAGTCAGTTTTTCTCTCACATCTTATCTCATGCACACACACTTTGACACTAGCCTGCCTTCATTCAGCGTTCACCTGTCGGGTGTCTCTCATTACTGACATTCATAAGTTAATAAAGGCAGCAGCTAGTGACGCTGACATTCCAATGAAGGGACATAATTGTGCAATAAAATGTTTTGAACAGTTCAAACATTAAATATGGGGTTATTAAAGCTTCAAACACTAGATGTCAGTGCAGTTGTTAATGTGTGGGAGTTGGATAGAAACAAAAAATGAACTGATTTACCGTCCAGTATAAAATGGTTTTCTAAGTGCTCAAGATGCCACGAAAGTTATTGACTAACTGATGACTTTCACATACTCGTTACTTTTTTTACAGTTATATCCAAGCTCAGCACTTGTTTATAGCTGGACAGCTGCACACAAAGAAACAACATCTGCTTTAAGCCAGCACAGTGAATCACAAGAATTGTAACTACACCTAAATCAGCAGATTAGTGGCAAATCTACATGCTCAGATTGACAAGAGATTGGAGCAGTTGCAGTCATGTGATTCAGTTACACTCAGTGTGCAAACAGCAAAATACTCAACTACAAGAAAGAACAATCGGGAGAGTGAGAGAAAATGGAAAAAAATGATGATTTGTTCAAGAAATTGAGTGTAATACAGTGACCTTGCGTGCATGAGAGAAAAAGATGGTGCACAGATGGATGTGTGTGTGCATGTGTGTGTGTGTGAGTGCATCACATATTGACTCCATATCTATTTTCACGCAGCCCGAGATGGATCCTTTGAAACGCTGCTCGTATAACACACCACCGCCAGCCATGAATTGCAGAAGCATTTTTCAAGGGTGTATTTATCTTCAAGGTCAGGCCAGCTGCTGGAGTCTGTTCTGCGCATTTGAGTGTACGTGTGTCCGGGTGAATTTGCTGTTGGGAATGCTTATACATGTCAGTGGAGGAGTTTCCCTATGTGTGTGTGCGCTTGTAAAAGAGGGTACTGTAACAGTGTTTGTATATAGTTTATTGCATGCTGGCCTTGGACTATATCTTTGAAACACAAGCACGCTGTAAAAAAGTGTTGATGAAATCTAATAAGCCATTAAGTTGACAGGTACCAGTGCACACGTATACACACAGAGAAACAGAAGAAGGGGGACTGACAGAAAGTCTCAGCACCCAGATTGTGTTTGACATGTCGGCAGCTTGTTGCCGTGGTAACATCATTAGGAAAGCAGAAAGAGGAAGAGGTGAAGCTGGGCAGTAACCTAAATGCTGAGTCTTTGTTTTGTGTGATGAAAACTCTGAGCCGAAATCTAAAATCTACCTCTGGAATGCCACACAGCACGATGGTGGCACGCTATAAACCTCAGATGATTTGTTGGGAAAATACCAGTGCACCAGCAATTTCTCAAATACTCAGACAACAACCACACCAAGTTTCAAATCACTCAAATCACCTTTCTTCCCCATTCTGATGCTAGGTGTACATTCTAAATATTGGATATCCACACCACCACCAGCAACACTGAAACCACCTTCCTAATAATCTGCAGATCTCCACCACGTTGTCAGAACAGACCTGTCGGTGCATGAACACAAGATCTCCGGTGGCACCAGTATGTAGACCAGTGCAGCCTCAGTGGAGCAGGCTTGTGTATGCTTATATATGTTGCTCATGTTGTATGTGGGGACTTCAGTCAAGACGACATCATAGGCTCATGTTTGTTTTGTGTTTCTGAGGCAGCTCTGAGCAGGTTCTGCGACATTGCAGGGGTCATTGT